CAAGAGTAGTCCTGATGTATTAGGGAATTCTTTTCAAAAGGCTAAAAGATGTTTATTCTCATTAGAACGCAGGTTAATTAAAAAGCCGGACATCAGTAAAATGTATCGAGATTTTATGTCCGTCATATTAGTCAGTTATTAGGTCACATGACCGAAAGTCACACTACTGAATCGGATCGACCGTCATACTTTGTGCCTCATCACGGTGTCTTACGCGAGAGCAGTATTACAACCAAGCTCCGAGTAGTATTCAACGCGAGCTCTGTTACTTCAACAGGTGTTTCTTTCAACGAAATTCAGTTGGTTGGCCCTACAGTTCAGGATGACATTCTGTCTATACTACTTCGTTTTAGGCAACTCAAGTACGTATTATCTGCCGACGTTGAGAAGATGTATAGGCAGATAGTCGTACATCCTTCTGACAGACGCTTGCAGCAAATACTTTGGCGCGATGATGTCAATGATTCAGTTAAGGTATATGAACTAAATACCGTCACTTACGGCACAGCAAGTGCACCATTTCTAGCAACTAGATGTCTCATGAAAATAGGCTTGGATTGTACTAACCAAACCGTCGCAGAAATAATCAAGCACGATTTTTATGTTGACGATTTGCTGACTGGAGGAGACAATTTAAGTTCTATGCAAGGTATACGTAACGACATCACGGATGCGCTCGCATCAGCTGGTATGACTGCGGAAATGGTTATCAAATGGATCTCAACTGGTGCTTGATTCAAGTAATTCGTCTCTAAATTTAAATATTGGTTCTGATGAGCCAAATAAATTGCTTGGTTTAAGTTGGCAGTCAAGCACAGATAACTTGTGCTTTCCAATACATTTGTCACTTCCCAATAGCAAAACTAAACGAGACTTACTTTCAGTAATTTCACGTATTTTCGATCCCCTTGGTTTATGGCACCGTGTGTGATCATTATGAAAATGCTTTTACAAAAATTGTGGCTAGAAAATTTGTCATGGGATGAACCACTATCTCCCAATATTACTAAAATATGGAATAATGTCATAAATAATTTAAATTTAATAAACGATATTTATATTCCACGACACGTTATTTGAGTTAATTACCAATCCCTGCAGCTACACATTTTCACGGATGCATCTGAAAGCGCTTAAGGTGCTTGTGTGTATGTCCGTAGTGAGTGTTGATGTCAGTGGAGAGGTTATGGTACGTCTACTGATGGCAAAAAGTCGAGTGGCACCAATTAAACCCACAACGATTCCTAGGTTGGAATTTTGTGGTGCCTTAATGGGAGCTCGGTTGTATGAGAAGGTTATAAATTCGCTTCGAGTGAATTTTGACGCCATATATTTTTGGACCGATTCCACAATCGTTCTAGGATGGTTGCGAATGTTGCCTTCTAGGCTTCAGCCATTTGTACGTAATCGCGTAGCTGAAATCCTAGAAAGGGTAGGCAATCACACATGGAAACATGTCCCAACGGATAAAAACCCAGCAGACCTAGTATCTCGCGGTGTGGATATTAGTTCTCTGCATGGCTTAGATTTGTGGTGGGTTGGTCCAAAATTTCTTTCCGGCGATCCAAGTGAGTGGCCTTCTCAACCTAATTATCCAGAAACATTACCCGAAACTCGACTAAATGTAACATTGAACGCTTGTGTAGCTGATAGTACTTGTCAAAGTTTAATTGATTTTACACGTTTTTCCAATTATTTACGTTTAGTGCGTACAATAGCTTACGTTTTACGGTTTATTCGTGCATGTAAAGCTCAGCCTGCTACAACCAGTTTTCTGGAAGAACATGAGCTACGGAAAGCTTTAAATGTAGTTATTAGACAAAGTCAGCAGGAATCATTTCCCGAATATAATTTATTATTAAAAAAAATAGTCCTTTGTTAAAATATACCGTGTTTCTAGACGATGATAAAATAAGACGTGTTGGTCGTCTTAAGAACTCGAGAGTTTTCTTACGATAAAAAGCATCCTATCTTAATACAGTCCAATCATTTATTTACAAAATTAATTTTCGATTATGAGCACATAAAGCTTATGCATGCTGGTCCTCAGCTATTATTAGCATCAATAAGGGAATTTTACTGGCCGATATGTGGTAGGAATTTAGCCAGAGCCTGTTACCACAAATGTGTCAAATGTACACGCATGAAGGGCAAAATAGTAAATCCTATAATGGGAAACTTACCACAGCAGCGCCTTATTCCAGACGGGTATCCCTTTCAGAACGTTGGGGTTGATTATGCCGGACCCATAATGTGTGCAAGTCGTCAAGGTCGTGGATGTAGGTTGGTAAAGGCCTAATTATATTGCGATTTTCATTTGTTTTACGACCAAAGCAGTGCATCTGGAATTGGTGGGCGATTTAACTAGTAATAGTTACCTATTAGCATTGCGTCGTTTTATCTCTCGAAGGGGTAAACCTATTAATATTTATTCCGATAATGGAACTTCATTCGTTGGTGCTTACAATGAATTATCAAAATTTCTAAAGTGCAATTGCGATTCTTTGAGCGAACGTTTGGCAAATGATAACATTAACTTCCATTTTATACCCGCGTATACTCCTCATTTTGGCGGATTTTGGGAGGCAGGTGTCAAGTCAACCAAGCATCATTTGCAAAGAGTGCTGGGGAATTGTAATTTAACGTTTGAAGAGCTTAACACCACGCTTACGCAGATTGAGGCGATATTGAACTCCAGACCGCACACTCCGCTCCCGCTCCGTTCAGATCCTGCAGATTGCAACCCACTGACGCCGGGTCATTTTCTTATCGGACGTCCACTTACAGCATTGCCAGAACGAGATCTTCAATCATGTAATACCAATTACCTGTCCAGATTCCATAGGATTGAACAATAACGACAGCATTTTTGGGCTCGTTGGAGCAAAGAATATATTGCAGAACTGCAACAATGAACCAAGTGGTATTGTGGCGAAGGTGTTTTGAAGACTGGTGTATTGGTCGTAGTCAAGGATGACCATCTTCCTCCATTGAAGTGGACATTAGGAAGAATTGTGGCTGTGCATCCGGGATCCGACGGCGTCGCTCGAGTAGCAGATATTCGAACTTCTACTGGCGTGATTCGAAGGGCATTCAACAAAATTTGCCCATTGCCGGTGCTCTCCACATCTGGTTGAAAGCGCAGCTTTCAACGCCCGGGGGCATGTTCGCGCCTACTCAAATGTTCGCAGCAAACCCGCGCATATCAAGCTTAAGGTTTTTAATTATAAGAATCTTTTGTATACTGCATTCATCCTTCAACTTTTGTACTTGTTACTCACCTACTTTGCTCATTATAGTTTAAAATTTTATATACGTTTGTTTTAATTAATGGCATCTCTTGCGAGGCAAATCTATATGCCGACAGAGGGTGTCCCAAGACTGACTGTAGTGGAGTCCAGATAGTCCTTCGTTTTGATCGCAGAGTGCGCGGGCGCGTTGTCGTAGTGGCAAAGGACCCCGCGGAGCCCGGTGTTAGGTCACTTGTTGCTCATTGCCGAAAAAGCTTCTGGCAGGCATTTTGTGCTATACCATTCGGCGTTGATGCTTCTTTGGTCTCGGAAGTGGAATTGAAATTAGGTACCCCGTCAAAGTGAGGAGCTCGATGGCGCAGGTGGTTAGCGCGTTCGGCTGCGATCGTTGAAGTTAAGCAACTTTCGCAGTGGTCGGTCATTGGAGGGGTGACCAAAAATTTACTATCTCGAGCTCCTCCGTGCTTCGGAAGGCACGTTAAGCCGTTGGTCCCGGCAGCATTTGCAGTCGTTAGCACCCACCAATCCGCACTGGGCCCGCGTGGTGGGTCATGGCCCAATCTCCCTATTCCATCCATAGGGAAGGCCTGTGCCCCAGCAGTGGGGACATTAATAGGCTGATGATGATGACCCCGTCAAAGTGAAGAAACTAGCCATCAAAATTTTCCCTGCGCTCCTCCATCGCCTCACTTTTAAATTGTCGTCGACTGACGCTTTGACGATAAATTCAGGATTCGTCACCTGTCACAATATCGTAAACGCACGGTGACGAGTCTGCATCAAATTTTTGTATCATATCACTGCACCAATCCATACGGGCCTGCTTCCGAGCTTCGGTGAGGTTGTGGCACCCAGCGGGAAACTATTCTCCTTACGCAAAGGTACTCGTGCAAAATCTTGCGAACACTTCCTGAACCAATCTGCAGACTATGCTGAATCTATTAGTAAGTACGTAATTCGTCTGTTTTCTTGAATTACATTTTCTACTGCCAGCATACTTTCTTCGGTGACAGCCGTCGTAGGACGACCACTCCTTTGTTTGAACTCGCCACACCAGCTCCTAGATGGTTGCTTTTGAAGGTCCTTTATCCATAAAAGTAGTTCGAAATCTATCAAATGACTCATCAGGTTTTAAGCCACATTTATTTGGTAGTGAGAAGGTATTTCTGCCTTCACTCATCCATTTCAGGGTGGTGGTACAGCGTCAAAATTAGCGCCGCAGAATAACAGAGATAACTATAGTGTAGGTACTTACATTCTACTTGCATGCCCTAAGCCTAGGCATGAGACCTAATTATGAAACTAGCACGTTCATCTCAGGGAGGGGGGGGGGGGGGGGTTGATTAACAGCTGCCAACTTCAATTCTACATTAAAAAATAGGTACTCGATCCTTATTATCCCCCTATTCCTGAAATTAATTATCAAGGTAAATTCGTGGATATTACCTAAATGAAAAATAATGAGGACCACAGTTTGCCTCAGACCGAACTACACAAATTATATCACGATTGTAGGTTACTTTAATATGGTTTGGTTGGTAGGTAACATTTTTTCACACAACGATGGAGCGGTAACAAAAAAACTAAACAATTTATGAATGGGAAATTCTTTATTTTTATTTAATAACAGATACCTATTCTACAAAGAGTTTCGTATTATTTTAAAAATTACCCTATTACCTTCAACAACGACATGAGGCGATTGTGGGGAATGGAAAAAAGGAGAAATTAAATCACAAAATGTATTTTAGTTCATAAGAGTTTATTAGACATAAGTACACTATTTATTTACATGACTTATTCGACTGTCTAATATGTAGGTAAATAAAGTTAAGATTTTATAATTTTCTATAAGGACTAGGCTAGGCTACTTACCTACTACGCTTAGGTTCAGTAACTTTAAACATGTTTTAAACAAATTTACATTTATTGACGGAAATAGGTATTTCGACTTTTATACCTAATAATTAATCTTTTATTTGCTATGACATCACGTTATACCTGATTTAGTTGATTTAATATAAATAGCTTTATTGGCATTCGGTTGTTTTCAAAAATAAAAAGTTTCTTACTTCCTACATTTTTATTAATATTAATGGAACAATTAGCATAACAATATTTTGGCAGTGATGACTTAAGCATTCGATGCTCCACCGTGCATAACTTTAAAAACTTATTAATATTCTTATTTAGTAATGATGTGTGTAGGTGATTTTGGTTCTTCATACAAAAGTAAAATGATAGGTATTTGTTATATTCGTTTGTGCAGATTTTTGTGCGGCGCATCATAATTATTATTATGATAGTATGCTAACGATTTCAACATAAAATGACATTGAACAGTTACTTTAATTACCTCATCTCATTATTATTTAACTGAGCATGCTAGAGAATCAACCAACATCCTGAACTGGTTTCATAACATTCCAATTTAGCCAGCCAGTGGTGTCGATTCTGACACCATTCTCTAAACATAAAATTGTATTTGACAACAGTGTATCATTGTCATTCTCCATGAAGAATGAAAAGGAGAGACTGATGTTAAATTTAGTTTTAAGTTAAGAGAATCAAGCCAGAATCGACACCAGTCTTGAGTAAGAAACGTAAGATATCGGTACCAAAATACACCGCATAAATCTCTGCCTTTTACCTTCTCTCGATATTTGTTCCCCAGGGCTTGTGCACACAACTTTTTGAAAATTCACACATCGGTATTGTAATATAATAAAATAAAAAACAAATTGCATTTCATTTTGTAGATCGGTCGGTCGGTACCGCATATAAAAACAATCGGAGTAAAACCCTCCGAGCTAATGTTCCTAGCAGTAAAACACTGCGTACAAAATAGACGTATCGGTAGCGTTATTATGACTATATTCTAGGGCAGTTAGTTTCAATGTAATTCGTCGCTAAGACCAGGGAGCCTACCGCCTATCGAGATTGCTTTGGCTATTGCTAAATTGATAAAGCTTATGATTTGTTTTTGTTATTTCTGACCGCCAAGGTTTACAAATACCTCGCGCTCATTTTCTAAAATGATGTGATTACAGATGAAAAAAGATAGCGAGGCATTTGAATACTTTCGGTGGTCAGAAAGAACAAAATAAAATCATAAGCTATAGCAATAGCCAAAGCAATCCCGATGAGCGATATTCCCCAGTACTTACAACATGCTGTAACTGCCATCTAAAGGATTTGCGACTCACTACAAAATTTTATCAAATAAACGATCACTTCATTGTATGGAAAAAAGGCTTTTACCTAGATTGTGAACCCTGTAAAAACGTTTTGTGCATATACCCTAAATATGAAAGATTATTCTTTATTGTTGTGCATTTTTCGAAATGTTTGACGTGTCGTTTTATCGAGATATTAAATTATTTATTTGATGCGTCGTTCATTTTGCTACTATGACTGTCGGGTGACGTGCCTCGGGCGGCCGCGTACTATCCGGCCGTTGCGTCGGAAGGGCACGGGGCGGCGGTAGACAGGGCGGCGCACCACCGCCTTGGGCACGGAGCCCACGTCGCCGCTTGGGAACGACGGGTACCCGCTGCTCCGGCCCGGCGGACGTCTCATGCATACTGCACATCTACAAAATGACGGCGAAAATAGTATTATGAAACAAACAAATCCCAATTTTACTAGTGAACAAATATGTATGTTAAGTCTTCACATTAATGAATATCATTAACCTGAGGTTATATTTATTTAGAAGCTATACTCTAGGTACCTGTAAACATAAAGATAAAGGTGAAGATCCTTTTAAACGAAATTCAACTCATCCCATTGACAATCCACATAAAAGAGTCACATAAGGCTAATTGTTATGAACTCTTTACAACTTTTCTTTAAGAAGAACAATGCAAAGATATGTAAAGAGTATAGAACAATAGTTTTAAGAGTCTAGTGCTAAAAGTGTCTCTCAACAATATTCATCCAAGCCTTAGAGCAAGCTCTAAGATCCAAGCATAAGAGTTTGGTGTGATGAATGGCTAGGAGACAGGCAATTTGGATTTTAAGGTGGTGTAGAATAACAGTGGCTTTTTGTTGTTCAGGTTTTGGTTAAAAAAAGCAGACTGATATGCAACAAGATGTTTTCGTTTGTTTCATCAATTACGAAATAAGCGTTTCATCGAGTGCTGCACGATCGTCTTATAGCAATCTTAAACAAAAATGGGCTAGATGGCAAAGATGCACGTATTATAAGATACTTCTATACCTACGGATGTGAGGTCTAGAGCATCTCCGGAAACGTGTATCAGCATTTGAAATATGGGCATATAGACGCATGTTGGTGATAAGCTAGACGCATCGAGTACTAATGTGGAGGCCCTACGTCGAGCTGGGAGGAAACATGAAATGATGTAAACCATCAAAAGAAGAAAGGTTGCCAATCTAGGCCGTGTACTTAGGCACTCCAGATAATGAGCTTTATAATGATTCTTAATAATGATGGAAGTGGCCGGAATAAGATCTGTTGGATGTAGGAAGAAGTGGCTGCGCAATATCCGCGAATGGACCTTCACAAGTGCAGCGGAGCTTTTCAACTTCGCCAAAGACAGGGTGAAATATGCTAAGCAGAGCAAGCCAATTAGTGAAGCTAATTGGAGAGGCACTCGAAGAAGATAAAAGAGGTAAGGTAGGAACGGATTTCGAGCCTGGTTGGTTACAATTTCCAGAGTGTGGTCATTCACAAGTGACAAAAAAAATACATAAGAGTACTTTAATAAGGGATCCTACAGGATAGATTAAAATAATGTTTTACTAACCTGCTTATCTTGGAGACTTGATCCGCCTTGAGCGTCTGCTGTTCGGGCCTGTCGAACATCCTCGCGTCGTTGATGGTGGACAGCCAGTAGGAGACGGCGGTGGCGAAGTAATTGCAGCGCCCGAGCCCGTTGCACTCGATGAACGGCCGCGTGCGGAAGTCGCGCAGGCACGACCCGGGCGATATCAGACTCTGCCCGGCGGCGTCCGCGCCTGCTGTATGCTAAAAAGAGAACGCACAATGTGAGTTTCTACTGTAGCTATGTCAAACATCCCATCAAACTTATTGGACTAAACCATGGACAATGGAGCCTACGCAGTTATAATTTTACATACAAAAACATATATCTCGACGTGAGACGCATAAGGTCTGATGTTAACATCGGACCAAAATCACTTTTTTAGCCAGGCAAAATCAGCTCTTCGAGCTCTTTCTAATGAACTAACAATCGTGTTTCTATCCCTTTTCTGAGTGTACTTTTTTGAGTTGCATAAGGGCATATGTCGCAAAATTACTAAAATAAATAATAACCAATAAGCGTTTAGTATTCGTTCGAGCGCGTACCGGCCGGCTCATTTGTTACACTATTTTGCTTCAAGAGTTTTGATGAGCAATCACAGTCTTTGTTTAGTGATTTTGATGTGATTGATGCGATTATTGTAACATTTACATGATAAAAATGGAGGAAGAACATAGGGTAAGTTCAGTTAATCATCTTTATTAAATGGAAAAGGTAGTTTTATGTAATTTTGTATCTAATAACCTGAACCTACTTTTTTGTATAATGTTCCAGAATGTGTTATATCTGCAGTTAATTAATAAACGGCGAAAATTGGCTAATCTCAAAGAAAAAATTATAGGTTCCAAAGAAGGATCACAAGAAGCCAGAATAGGTAAGTTAGTGTCAAGTTTGAAACTGTTATTGTGGTTCATGTGGGTAGGTATCTACTTTGTTACATTGTTGTAGATCACTTGGAAACGTATGGCGAACCTGTGTCAGTGGCAAAATATCAAGAACAGATGAATAGTGAGGTCAGCATGAATGCATTTGCAGGTGAGTTCCTAGCAGGTTTTCAAATAAGTTATTTTGGTATAATAAGCAGGAGCACGGGATTCTATTACCAAGTCTACAACCCCTTTTTTTCTATTAGGTCCGTCCTTTAAAATAGCTTTATCTTTTGAAAATTAAATACATAGTTTATTTTAATAATGTTTCTATGAAATTCTTACTAAGAATAAAAATTTGGATAGATGATGTTTGTTACTCAATCACCCAAAAACGGCTTAACAGATTTGGATGACATTTGGCACACAGTTTTTTTTAATACGAAGACAGCATAATTCAACCCCGTTGGGTGCAAGCGAAATCCAAATGTGAAGACGATTAGTGCGGCATGAATTGGACTGCACTAGTCTGCCATAAGGTACCTCTTCACACATCATTTTTTATAGGAAGTCCCCATGTTTTAAGAAGAAGTTGTGGGTGGAAGCAAGTAATCTATATATATAAAACTCAAAGGTGACTGACTGACATAGTGATCTATCAACGCACAGCCCAAACCACTGGACGGATCGGGCTGAAATTTGGCATGCAGGTAGATGTTATGACGTAGGCATCCGCTAAGAAAGGATTTTGATCAATTTTACCCCGAAGCGAAGCGAGGGCGGGCCACTAGTTTATAATAAAACAGTAATAAAAGAACATAGAAGCCTTATTATCCCTATAAACAGTGCCACAGATGTGATATAGATGAAGTCGCGGTTGTACCTGCGACTTCATCCGACTATTCCAGACTATAATCTATTTCTACGCCAAATTTCATCCGGATCCTTACAGTTACTTTGGCGTGATTTGAGTAACAAACATCTATACAATGAATCCAACTTTCGCATTGAAATGAAATGCAAAAATAATAGGAACTCCCTTATATTCTTATAATCCCGAGTTCCTGTTATTTTTACGTATTTTTTACGATTATTTTATTTATTTATACTAGTAAAAACAAAAAATAAGGATATTCCGGTATCAATTGTAATAATTGTGATATTTACTCATGCTGTACGATATTAAAGTAAAATTATGAAAGCTTTTTAGAACCAAACAACGACACTGATGTCAGCAGTTTTGTAAACCATAATTATATTAATATGAATAAAAGTGAAGGTATGTCATGGTATGTCATCACTTGACGATATGTTTGTGCTTGTGTTTACTGAATTGGGGTATTAAATAATTGATGTATTAATATTTTCAGCTTATAAAGGAATGGATTTTGACTATGACAGTGATGACAGTGTGAAAGACAAAACTTATGATCCTAGCAAAGATTGTTCAGATGATGATAGTTACATCAGTAATTCACCGGAACATGACATTTCGCAAAGTCGTAGAAATTTGTAAAAAAAAATCTATTCACACCAGACAAATCACTTCAAAACCAGATTAATAATAACGATCTTATTACTTTGGACGACCTTTTAAATACCACTGAAAAGTATCAAGAACCTGGTACTTCCCTTGATATTTCTGGATTTGACAATCAAATCAAAATGGCCCAACAAATTGTCTCAATGGATTCTTCAGAAGATGTCATTAATAATACATGCCAAAAATACCCTAACAATGTTATTGATAATACTCAAACCAGCATATATTATAATGAGCCTATTCCATCAGCTACAAACATTATTCATGAAGACAACTGTGAGTTTGCCCTTTGTAGGACTGTTTCGGCTATCCCATTGGACGAAGAACGACATAATATCAAGAACAATATTATGGTCGTAGATATGAATGGAAATATTTACATACAGAATGAAATAATTACAGATAATATAAATATGCAACAGACTCCTTTAAAAGTGAACTGTAGGAAAAAGCAGAAACAAGTAGATAAATGGAAGAGGGTTGTTTCAAATGTTACGAAAAAATTCCTGATAATATAAGGCTCCAAATTTTTAAGGAATTTTAGAAAACATGCTCTAGTTGGGATCAGCGTCGACAGTTTTTAGCTAACCATATCACAAAAGAACCAAAACATTTGATGAAAACCAATGGAAATTTAGATACAGACAGAAGAAAGTTTACTTATATCTACAGACTCGTCGTCAATTCAGAAAGCCAAAAAGTGTGCAATGTGATGTTTCTTAACACACTTTGTATAGGTGATAAATTTTTGAAATTAAGTTTGGTAAAACAGCTTGACTGTGGTTTAGTCGCCCCTGACCAAAGAGGAAAGCATATCCCTTCTAATAAATCACCTGCAGTGGTAATTCAATCGGTGATTGACCACATCAACATGTATCCTAATTACGAAAGCCACTATTCAAGGGAAAAGAGCAAACGAAAGTTTTTGGGACCAGACCTAAACATTCCAATCATGTACAAACAGTACAAAGAATGGATGGCAGAAAAAGAGATTCCTTCGAATTAAGTCGCAAAAGACTGGTTATACCGCAATATATTTAATACAAAGTTCAATTTAAGCTTTAAACTTCCATCAGTAGATACTTGTGATGACTGCGACGCATATAAAAGAAAGCTACTGGATGCTAAAGACGAAGAAACGAAAGAAATAATAGAAAAAGATAAGGAAGTTCATGATATTGCCGCTGAAGAGAGATATAAACTGAAGAAGAAAGACAAAAGTAGATTCAAGTTTAGGTGAAAAAAAGGTATTGATGTTTGATTTACAAAAGTGTATGGCAACACCGAATCTCACTAATTGTAAGTCTTTTTACTTAAGAAAACTTTGGACACTAAACTTGACAATCTTTGATTCAACATCTAATATTGCAACAAATGTTATATGGTCTGAAAATATAAGCGGGAGAGGGGGAAACGAGGTAGCATCCTGTCTGATTCGCTGGGCGAATGAGAATTTATGGAAAACATTGTTAACGTTAGAGAGCTCACTTTCTAGCCTGATAACTGCGCGGGACAAAACCGAAACTTAATGGTGGTATTGGCTTACATGTGGTTGCTTCATAAGTGTCCCCAACTAAAAATAATAAGCCACAAATTCATGCTCAAGGGTCACACCCATATGGAAGTCGATCAAATACACTCTCAAATAGAGCAGAAGAAAAGGCGGTTAAAAACAATGCAGATTGCTGTACCACGAGACTGGTCCCAATTCATTCAAACTTGTGGAGGAAAGAGAAAATTTGATGTATTTGAAATGCAATCTCACCATTTCAAAGATTTAACTGCACTGTACAAGAAAAATGGACCTTTTGTTGCAAGGAAAAAAAATAAGGAAGGAATAGTTATTTATTATACAAGAGTGGAAAGTTCCTTTTTAACCGCGTGCTCGATTTGGATGACCGAGCAAGCGAAGGATTCTAAAGTTGAATCACGAGCGCAGCGAGTGATTCTAAATTAGAATCCTGAGCGTCAGCGAGGGAAACAAACGAGCACAAGGTGAAAAATCTTTCCACTCGAGTGCAATACGTAACTTTTCATCCCACCTCAGCGAGGAAATGACAAAATGAAAAAGAAAACAATTTATAATGACAAAATATTTTTATTTCAATTAAAACACATTAAGATAATCTATAAATTGAAGAAAATAATAAGAAGTAGAAAATAATTAAGAAATATTAAATGTAACGTTGCTACAGTTACTTATGTTAAGTTTAATATTTTTGTTAGGTAATGTTATGTTGGTGTTTGTGAATTGTGCGCTGTTTTGTGGTAAACTACTCGTATCAGTAATTTTAAATAGTTGTGCCGATTCATTGGATTCTATTGGCGTAAATGTTGGCGAGAGAGGGCTATTGTTTCCAATCTTATGGGGGCTCATTTTAGATGTAGAAGGGCGAGACCAAGAATCTGACAGAGGTTCTTTCAGCGTTATGGCCTCCACGATACTATTACAAATTTTTGATTTACTTTGGATTGAATCCTCTATGTATCCCTCTACAACCGAATTAGACTTCCAGCCTCCATGGCGCTTAAGCGATAGAAGATCAGCCCCTGATTCGGCCAAAAGTGTGGCTGAGGTTCTTCTAAAACAGTGACCGGTGTATAACGGGGGTTCTAAAAGTCCGAGAAAAGTTGCTATTTCTCGTGGAATACTGCCAATTTTATTCTGACCCATAGGTTGTCGGATACACTTTCCGTTGCGATATTGTAGAAAAAATCGTTCAATTGGGGTGTTAGAAGGACGTAAAGCTTGATATTTCTGAACAATGTTTACATATTCCTTGCGAATAACGAA